AAAAGGCAGTGCAGGTGCCAATGTTCTGTAGGTAAAAAACCAGAGTCCTTATTTGTTTTGCTCTTCCTATCAAAAGACCAGTGGAAAACCTGGGAAGAAATGGATACTTGTTGATTTTGAATCTGGGTCAAAAATGTTATCCCATCAGTGCTGCTAACCTTTCCAGCTAGCTGTTCTTCTGCTGCAGTTCTACGTGGTTATTTGCATTAGCTATGTATCTAAAAATGCAAAAGAAAATTAAACACTTAGATGTGCTAAGATCTGGGACCACGTAAGCCACCAAGGTGACATCCATAGAATCTGTGCATAAAAGTAACAATGAACAATGAGCCTATTTCTGCTCTAGTTACTCTGCTGTGAACCCATATGAAAGTCAGGGCAAGTTGTGCTGGTGTCTCACTTGTCAGATGTGTTGCCATACCTCTGCACAGAGAAACCTGAGCAGAGAACTCATATGTTGTGCTATTATGACAGGAACTAGAAGACTTTTATGAAAGAAGGCAAGAGCAGTATACATCATATATGTTACAAAATATTTATGAGATATACCATACAGTATGAGTGTATGAGAGTGTGTATATATGTGCATTACAACGTAACATGAAAATGTGAGGCAGAAAAGGAAGATACTATTAAATTTACTAAATGCTTTTAGTTAATAGTATATCTGCACAAACACATGGCAAAGATAAGAAATGAAAAAAAAACAATTACCTGAAGAGAAAGTACATTGGTTACACTCCTTGATATACTAGGGTTATGGACTTCTCCATTCAGCTTTACATTGGGTTCACTTTCAGTTTGGGTAAAGGATCTTGAAGCTGTTACAAAAACATATTCCCTGTAGAAAAAGTAGAAGCAATACACACACACACCCCAACATATGGGTGCACACAGAAACAGAAGGGATTTTTAAGTCATGATTTTGTCTACAGGTGTCGAAAGCCAGAATTCATGTTCCATTCAATATGTTTCACACACTTGTAACTCACTCTATCACTTTGCTCTTGATTTAGAACTCCCCAGTAAAATTAAGGCTAAAATAATATGAAATGATGGCAATATACTGGGTGTAACCCTGCTAAAATGTGTCCTTCAGACAGGAAATACTACCTGGTTGCCTCCTCTCTGTCTCTCAGAACTTGGCAAGAAGTGTACCTACACCTCCCTGCTTAGAAAAATCAGATCTAATCTACAAGTAGCATCACCCATGCTGTCAGCTGCAGAGCAAAGTGCAGGAAGACAGGCAGATGCCTGCTGATACAGGGTAAGATGAGGGTGAGCTTAAGGTGGTGGAGTAACCTTTGTGTGTTTTCATTTCAAGTTAACCTTGCAAGCACTTGATGAGAAAAAAAGAAGAGAGAAGAAAGCAGTGAGCCAGGCTGAAGGCTCAGCCTGCCTGGCAGGACATGGTCTCTTAAAATTCATTAGGATGTTCAGGTTATACAAGAGCAAATGGGGGTCATTCCTTAAGCAGCTGAACTGATGAACTCTGTGTGTCTGTGGGTGTGTGTCCTGTGTCTTTTCTTCCAAAAGTCTCAGCATCCCACCCAGACCACCAGGACCCCTTTCTCCTCTGCCCACCCCACCTCCAGCTTCTGCCTGGTTGCTCAAAGCTCACAGTGAGGAGCAATGCTGCCACAGCCTCCCAGCAGGAAGAGCAGCTGACATAAAGTAAGCAACAGCCATGAAACCCTGACACCTGTGGAGACAGCCATGACTCACCTGTGCTTAACCCACGTGTCTGACTCGTTGGCCCTCTCGGTGTAGTTTTCAGGGAGAAAACCCCTGCAACCGGTCCGATGCGAGGTTCCAATCACCCAGCCTTCGCTTACGTCAGACTGCTGCGTCGGGTCAACATAGATGAAGTCCCCGGTGTTGATCATGAGTTCGTCGATGTTTTGGGGCTTGTACTGGAAGAGGGCCCTCAGCGTCTGGCGGAAACAGGTATCGGGGTCAGGGGATGCTTGCTCAACTCTCTACTGGACGTAGCAACCAGTACTATTTTACACTCTGCAACTTGCTCTTTAATGGCAATTTGGCAGAGAAAAAGGAAGACAAGACTGCATTTGCAGTATGTGTAAAAATAGGCCTTTTCATAAAAATATTTTTTCCTGTAAATAGTACAGACTTATTTGAAAGGAAGCATAGAAAAAGTGTTATCAGCTATTTTTTGTGATTACTTGCAGCTCTCCTGAGTGTGACCAAAATCCAATATGAAACTTGTGACAAAGTGATAAACCGATCTGACTAAAAAATGTTGATCATTCCATAATTTAAATTTGGAAATGAGAACTGGAAAAATGTTGACTGGTTTTAACAAAGAGTCTGTTAAGCAGAAAATCATCAATGAGAACTGTGCCCTGCTTCTTAATATTTAATCTTTTCAGTTTTCATTATGGCTGGAACAATCAAGAAAGATAATTTTACTGAATGGAATTTTACTGCAAAGCTGTGATCCTAGCAGATATTCAAGGATCATAATTTCCTGTCTCTTTTATTTTCTTATGTCATGGTAAGATTATTTTTTTTGCTGGAGTTTGAAATTAGACCTTCCTGACATACAGGTCAAACAGACTACCATAAGGGTATCTTCTACTGATTCCAGTTTTTCGATCCAAAGAGGTACTTGAAACAACCGTGCTTTTTGGGACACTGTGTTGTGCATGCACTGGTTTTCTTCATGAAAAAAAAGCAAGATGGCTGTAGCAAAGAGTCTGACTGAGGGCTCAGGAAATCAAATAAATCTGGTGACAGTACCTGATAGTGCACAAAACGCATGTCCCGTGAGTAGAGAGCAGCTACCCACTGGCAAGTCTCCCCTGGGTTAATACATTTGGCCAGTTGTTCCAAAGTCTTCTGATGGTGAGGATAAAACTTGTGAGCCAAGGTAAGGTGGAGCTGCTTTAGGCAAGGCTTCACATGGCAATCTAGGAATGAAACAATCACATCACAACATAAAAGTAAAGGTCATGGAAAGCTCTTCTTCTTGTTTTATCCCACATACTTTGCATGATGCAGGAAATACCACAGTAATTAGCAGTGGAGTGGATCACAGTTTTACTGAATAATGGTTTTGCAGAAAGTCATGGTTTTAATCATGCCAAAATAATTCACAGATCTGGACTGGATTTGGTCCCTGGCTTCAGCTGGGAGAGAAAAAAAAAATGAACAGGGCTTGAATTCCTCTCCCAGTCTGAGATGTATTGAACTCATTTCTCCCAGACAAAGCTATGCTGGGGCTGTGTCCCTTCATTATCCACTGGTGATGCAGTTTCCCTTGGATGTCACTGAGGTGGGGATTAGGACCTATTTATCAGGGATGCAGCCAACACATCAGACTGGGCCACAGCACCATGGGGATGGAGGGCTGGGAATAGGAATTATATCCCTGCCCATCTTGGAAATCCCGGTTGATGGCCTGTCAAGTTACATAGCCAACCATTTCAGCTTCCACACAAAAGCACTGTGTCTTCAAAGTCTAAAACATGCTCCCCTAGCCATGTTGTTTGCAAATCTGTATGAGTAAAGGGCGCTTGCTGGCAGTAAAACATCAGGTAAGCTCCACTGGAGGCACAGGAGATGTTTTCAGTACCATGCCTAAGCATTTGTCCTACGACCTGGCCATTTTCCCTCTGATGTTGGTCCTACCTGCCAGGGCCGAAGCTTCTGATGAGAATGCCACAGCAAACTCTCTGAGGACGTTTGCATGGCTGTCACCAATGAAGAAGCCAAGGTAGCTGCTGGATGAATGTAGTGATAGGGAAATAGATGTCGGAAAGCACTGTGAAAAGCTGTTACCAACTCGCTTTAAGATGTCATACAATAATTCCACTTTCTGGTCTTCACACTGAAACAAAACAGAGGAGGATCAGGCTTTACCCACTGGCTCAACAGCCACTATCGTAGCCTGTCTCAAACAGCAATACAGAAAAATGAGTGGGCATCAGATTTCCCAAGAAAGATAACACACGTACAAACTTGCCTGAAATTCCTGGTATTAAAATCATTAATACTGGGCTGTTTGGTCAGCACAGTAGCCTGGTGCTATAACAGGAGATGGAGCCTTCTACCAGGAGGTGTACTTAGCCTGGGTAGGAAAGAGCCAAAAGAATTTACCACCTGATAGGTGTGCTGTAACCTCTCTGAAATGAGGCAGGGATCGTGATTTCCCTCTTCAATTCTAAGTAAGAATTTACATTGTTGTTATCAAACAGTCTAGCTGACTCCTGCTCAAACTTCAAGATCTCAGGTGCTGAGCAACATCCCTGGGAAAATTCATCAGGCATCTTTGTCATTCTGATCCTTAATGCTCTAATCACAGCAAATTAAAGGATTGTACAGAGCCATGCTTCCACAGAAAGTGTCAATTAAGCAATTTAAGACATGAAGAGACAAAGACGGAATTTGTGCCATCCAGCCACAGACAGGAACATTAACGATGCTCCATTTCTGTGCTGCTTTATTCTCCTCCACAGGGCTATTTGCTCCATTTAGCCTTTACACTGGGTCAAGCTGTTGAAGGGGAAGAGCAGAAGAGAAGAAGCTCCTCCCTGCTTAGACTGTCTTTCTCTCTCTAGCATTTCTCAGGCCACAAGGGGGAGGGATGCACCAAGGGGGCATTGGGCAGACTGGGATGTAAGGGGACAGGGGCTGGGGGTGGTCCTGCACCAGGGCAGCAGGCTCCTCTGCAGCCGACAAGTCTACCAGCTGCAAAAGACATGAGTCAGGAAACAGGAGAGGGCCAGGCTGGGGGAAGGAGGTGGGAGCCAGGTCAGTGAGTCTCGCTTGCTGCCTGTGAGTGCCCAGGTCAGCTCTTGCTGACAGCCAAGGGGCAGAGAACAGCACCGGAGGGTGCAATTATCCCTAGAAATATGCTGCCTGAATTGGGGCTGAGATGTGCAAGGGTGAGGGTTGCTGAATTGAGGGTGTCTCTTCCAGGAACAGGCCTTTAAACTTGACACCTTTCAAGAGCATGGCATTTGTTATTAATTAATGACTTTTGTTCTGTATAATTGTGGTTAACCGCCACGGGGTGCCATTCAGTATTTTGCAACAAAATACTCTTATTTTCACTGTCTATAATTAGTGTCATAATTTAGTATAAAAATATGATTAACAGAATGATTTTGTCCAGCTGCTCTAGCTCATTTCTGTTTCAGCACATCTCAGCTGCAGCTGATGTTCATGTGCTGCACCATCAACATGCGAAAACTGGATTCCAGGTGGCTCCAGAGTTCTTCCAGATCAGTGACTGATGATCTTTGCTGATACTGGCATATTTACCTGTGCAAGAGAATCAGCTCTGCTGTGAAGTTTCCTAGAGGGTTACCTCTATTTGGGTTACCTCTACTGTTCAGTAGGCCACCTAGGAGAAGAGTAGCCAGGCTCCTCTAGAACCAGAAAACAGCCCACCAGGAGTCCAGCTCAGGAGCCCAACTTTCATGTTAAATTATTGGCAAAGCGACTCAGTTGCACTGCTGGAATCCAGTCTGGCTATCCTTGCTCTTTCCATGCCTGCACGCTCTGCTTCTCTCTTTATCACCACATCCAAGCTTCAATAAAAAGGGTAAAGACCAGGACATGCCACCATAGCAACAACCTTCTGGCTGTGGCTCTCTGGGGAAGGCAGGGGTTTCCCTGAGATTCCCATAGTCATAACACCAAAATTGTCTACATCCTATGGTAATGCCGTCATCACTGCATGGCTGTCTGAAGGCAGCCACTGCTGCCCTGACCGGGAAGGTTCAACATCTTAGATCAATGCAGCAATGAGCCCAGTCTCTGAAGCCTGCCAATAGCTGCACGTGGGGAGCAGTGCTTGCTGCGGGCAGGTCCATGTGCAGCCTGGACTGCAGAGGGTTGCTCTAGGTGGATGCTAGGCATGTGTCACTCAGCTACCCTGAAGCATCCCACTGGCCCCCACAGGCAATTTTTAGGTATGACCAGGCCTAAGGTGGGTCACTAAAGTGGGTGGTGGGAAGAAAGCCCCCGGTGCCTATGCAGGGGCTGAACACTCAAATATCAAGCAAGCATGCCTGGACCTGGGTCACGCCAGTGTGATCACGAAGGAGAAGTTCTGGTGTAAGACAATGGCAGGTTGCCCAGTTTCACTGGTAGTTGATATTTGATCCTCGTATGTCTTTTGTGCCTTACCGTGAAGAAGTCGCAGAGAGTGATGTGTGGAAAAATCTCATGGGCTCTGTTTTTCCCGCACTGGCGCTTGCTCTCCTTCCAAAACTCTTGCAGGTGGTTATACAAACAGCCGGTGGGACACAAGTAAAGAGCGTACTCCTGAGGGATTGGGTCATCCAAAGAGGGATCATTGCAGTGGGAGTGCAACCTGAAATCAAGAGCGTGTCACAGAGAGTAAGTGTGTGCACCGCTTACCCTTGTTTCCTGTGGTTGAAAGCATCCACAGCAGAGACTAGAAAAAGGAAATACAAGGTTGTTATTTTCTTACAAATGAAAACCTAAAATAAAAGCTCCTTACAAATTTTCTCTCTGAAGTACTAACGGAGAATACTAACTAATGGAGAATGTTTTTCTTTTCTGCCTATTTTTTGTGTAGTTTTCATTTTATTATGTGTCTTCACTTCTTTCAATGTGTGAAAACAAAAAAAGATTATTTTATGGGTTTTTGGGTTTTTTCATCCCCCCCCATTTTCATGACTGGAAACAGGGGACTGAAATAGGAAAAAGAAGCAATGGGTAGAAAATATTGAAGAATAACAAAATGAAAACTCACTGAAGATTTAAAAAAATACTCTAAAGAGTAATAAAAAGAGCTAGTCTTTTTATTCAACCCTAACAAAAGCAAATGACAAATCAGAAAATGCACAAGCAGAGAACAGAAACTCCTGTCCCCTGATATTCTTCACCTTGTTCTTCACATGCAGTATGTTTGGTGTTTGGCTTTGCAGCTGTTGGATTGTGAGAAGCAAAAAAAAAAAAAAAAAAAAAGGAAAAAAAAAAAGAACCTGGAATAAAAGACTGAATTTAATATGAAAGTGGATTAAAGCAAGAAAATAAATTATCACCATATCAATAACATATGAATACTCCATGAGAGTCTTAGCACAGAGGAAAAACCTTTGCAGAGATCAAGACTAACAAGTGATTTTGACTCTCCTTCTGACCATCAGCCTTGCAGCTAATTTATAAGGAGCCTTTCTCAATGGAAGAAGATAAGCTGTTTACCTTCAGCCATTGCCATTTAACCCCATGTTGTTACTGCACACATTTGTAACTGCAGCCATGGGTTTACAGACATTTTCCCTGTTTCCTTCCTCCTTTCCTTTGGGACAGAGGGTCCAGGTTCCCCCCTTGGGCCCTGTGCCTATTGCCCATGGGCGCACACCACGAGGCATGAGTGCTGTGGTGAGGCATGGAGGACATTTACCCCATGAGTGCTCCCAGAGCGTTCCCAGACATGCCCCCTTGCATGCCCACAATCCTGGCTCAGAGCCGGGGAACCCTTTGCAGAAGTAGTGAGCAGACCTTTGGCGGTCACGGCCATAAATAAGCAGGAGGCTTAAAACTGAGGAGAAATGTCTGCCCATAGTGGCCAGCCCCATGAACTGATTAACAACACTGTGGTAAAAGTAGCTGCTTCTGCCCAAGACTGCCATTGCCTCCCCAGCTTTTTTGATTTACCCCGGGCCTTTTGCAAATAACCTTGCTTCCCAGAATAAGTACAAATTGGATTATTTCTTTCTCTTCGTGAACTAAAATAATAATATTAAGAAATAACTCAAGTTCAGGGACAGAATCAGCATATGAACAAGGATTTTTAGTCAGGTTTAATGTGAAAGCACTCTTTAGAAATCACGGATTCTTACCATTTTGCAGCATCTTCTATTGTCTTTTGTCCAGTAGCAGCCAAGGCTTTTTGCCTAGAAAAAAACCAGAATGGATTCATCAGAATAACAGAGAGAAAACTCCTAAAAAGTAAAGAAGGGACATGTTGTGTCACACAAGTCTATCTTCCAGCACAGACAGGACCTTTAACAACTAGGTTATTTCTGGCAAACGTTAACGTTCTTGAAGCCCTCCAGATAGTAATTTCCACTGCAAGTCTAATTCCTTGAAGACTGGTAACCTGTCCTCCCCACAGGATGTCCTCCTCTGTGTTCTGGAGGCGTTTCTGTAGCAGCCCTACTGACTATATGGATTTCCTTAGGGTTGGGTAAACCATTCATCCACGGGCTGTAAGAGCAGGATTTGTTTGGTTCGTAGAATAATGTTCTGGCTCAAGATGCCAGGCCCAAGCCCATACATATAAACACAGCAAAACATACTTACACTGGGGTTTGAAAATCTGGATTGAGGATGTCTCACAGGCCAGCAGAGACCCAGATCTAAGCCACCAATTCTTTCCAAGATGATGGACGATATCTCATGTTTCTCTCTCTGTTAATGCAACTGTCATTCTCTGGGATTGGATTTGATTTGCATTGCCTTTTCTCACTAGAGCTTTCAAAATGCCAACTATGTGCTTCAGATGAACAAGGCTTTGTGGCTAAATAGTATGTGATTGGAGAAGGATTCCAGTGTTCAGGTAACATTTGCACCCATGAACCCCATTTCCAGCCCTGTAACCCACCTACAAACTTCTCAGAAGAGACATGAAGGTCTTGTAGAGACAGTGGACATGGAGGAAAACCTGCTAAATTACATGGCATCTGCTCATCTCTTTCCTTCTCTCTTGAGGCCATCCTTTCTGGACACTGTGTCCTGAGGGCATTGATTGATTTAGTCTCTCCACATTTTTATCCTCCTAGCTTTCTGTCTTCTTTCTGGTGCAAAAACTACACATGGGCTTGGTAAAAACATTTAAACATATTTATCTGTATGTGTAACAATGCCTGGCTCTTTAGTGGGAGCTCAACTTGGATGAGGGCTAACACGAATCTTTCCACTCAAGCTTTACCTTCTACCTTTCTTCTCTGTAAAGTAAATCAACTACCATGGCCAAATCAACGCAAAACTGTGAGTCTAGCTGGTCTAAAACTAGCCTGTGTCCTCTGTGACTCAGTACTGCACATTTTCTTTTGACGTCTCTGCTGGCTCCCCTTTCTCCACCACATCAAACACAAGCAACCTGTGTTTTTGTTGTCCTCATGCAACCCTTCCTGCTGTATCCTGTTGAAATGTCAGTGCCTCCTGCTGCTCATTCAATGATGCCAGACATTGTAAACCAGTTGTTAAACCTCAAAGGGAGTGTTTTACTACTTCATGCTATGGTGCCCCTCCCACTCGGAGAGAAGCTCTCTGCAAACAGTCCTGAGGCCGAATGGAGCTTGACTTCAGCTTTCTTTAACCGTAGGACTGCAAAATTGTAAATGTAATAGAACAAGAGAGACCTGAGACCATGGGCTAGCTCACTACTATCTCCTTGCTCCCTCTGTGCCTGTTCCCACCTTTTGTCTCATCTCTCGTTGACTGTAGGATGCTTTCCAGCAGGGTTTGTAGAGCCTTTAGTGGCAGAAGAGCACGAGGTTGCGACTAAACATCCTATGCTTCCAAGATGAGCAGTGAAGATTGAAAGATAATGCATAGAATTAATTCTGTATATACCAATTTCTTTCAGGTAGAGTGGGAATAAACCATTGAAAATCTGGACTTAAAATAGTATCTTTCCAGTGAGAATGAACAGGCTCTTTCCTAAAACAGAAGCTGCTGGCACAGTTCAGTTCTGTGTAAGCACCAGAGGAGGCCCATTTTCTTGATCTGATGCTAGGCTTGATCCTTACAGATTTGGGTTTCGTTCTTTGGGGAAATGTTGCTTTGACATGCTGGTTCTACATTATGAAAGATTTTGTGATGTTTCCACCCAGTACTTTCTTTCACGGTTAAACTCAGGAACTACAGAGACAGCTAAAAGGTTTTAAAGGTCTTAAAATCAATAAAAGCAAATAAATTAAAAAATAAAGTGCTTTTGGACATTTTGTCATTTTATGTCAATTTGCATAGTACTTGTGCCACTGCTTCTTGATTTTCACCTGGGAAGCACAAAGCCATCTCAATAACAGTGGAAACTGTTTCAAAGGGGATTTGAAGAACATCACATACAGGACAAAAAATTTGAAACCTAGCCATTACTTTGGGGTGACCAAAGTTATAGTATTACTAGAGAAATGATGAGTCAGGTTTTCAGCTGCACAGCTAAAATTCCACTGTGCATAACTGGAAACAAGGGACCCACAGTTTCCTTGTAAGCTGTGCCCATCATGCCTAAAGTTGATCTGCTAAAGACAGCTGTTCCTTAAAAAGCAACACAACACTTACAAATGAAGCCTTTTCAACTTCCTTGATTTTCAGTCAAAAGGGAGAGATATTGCTCTCTTTTCTAAAATATTTCAGTGAGGGGTTCTTTGACATGTAAATGAAAAGATTTATTTTTTGAACAGTTTGAACCAAAGTGTCCATACTTGCCCTTCAGAAGTTGGAAAATCCTTCCTAAAACTTCCCTGTCCAACCAGACGGGGAGGAGTGACCACCACATTTCTTTTTTATTAACTTGGTTAGCTGCCACGTTAATCTCTCATCCACTGCAGTTGCCAAGAATAGTGCTTCATTCTTTACTACTACATTTTCCAGGTAGGACACGCTTTTGGAACAAGATCCTGATTCAAGACAGGAAGAAAAATTGACAGACGTATGTGGCACCTTGTTAAGGAAAGCTTACTCTCTTAAAAAGAGGCCTCAG